AGTTCTACTTTACTAAGCTAGTAGAACACTATAGCCTTTCTTTACTAGCCTATAGTAATTAGCTGTTTATAGCCTATAATCTAGAACTAGTACTATAGTAAATCTACTAGTATAGCTAGCTTAATAAGCTTCTTCTTACTCTAAAGTAATACCTTCTAGAAGAAGTATTTCTTAATAACTAAGTTACCTCTTCTAGAACTCTACTAAGGCTAATCTACTCTAGTAAGGTAGTAATAGTTAATAACTCTAGATATAGAAGCTTACCTTACCCCTACTAGACTATATCTAATATAGGTAAATTAGTTAAGATTATAAGTGCCCTCTTAGTATTTAATAATAAGTAGCTGCCTACTACTCTCTAGTATAGTATAGTAAGAGTTATTATTAAAATAAATCTAAAGATGCCTATAGAAAAGGAAGCTAGTAAGGAAAGCAGTAATAAGAATACTAATACAGAGAGTAAAGATAATAATAAGGCTATTATAGTAATAGAATAAAGTTAGATTATAAAATATATACTACCTCTAGAATTAGAAGTAGAGAAAGAGGAGATAGAGAAGTAGGTAGAGTAGGTAGAAGAGTAGGCAGAAGAGTAGAGAAAGGAAACAGAAGAGTAAAGAGAGAAGATAGAAGAGTAGAGAGAGAAGATAAAAGAGCTAGAAGAAAAGAAATTAAAAGAGTAGCTCTTTAGAGTAATAACTACTATTTTAGATAAAACTACTATATAATAAGAAGAAAAAGTAGTAAAAGAAGAGAAAGAAGAAGAAGAAGAGGAAGAAGAAGAAGAAGAGAAAAATATAGTAACAGATATCTCTACTATAGAGAAAAAAGATAGTTAAGAAGTTACTACTATTAAGTAGAAAGTTATTACAGTTAAAGAAGAGGCTAAGGCTAAAGTAGCTATAAAAGTAGCTATAGTTAAGAAAGAAGTAGCTATAAAAGTTATTATAAAAGTAGCTATAGTAAAGAAAGAAGTAGCTATAGAAGTAGCTATAAAAGTAGCTGTAGTAGAGAAAGAAGTAGCTATAAAAGTAGCTATAGAAGTAACTACTATTAAGGAAGAAGAAGAAGAGAAGGAAGAGGTTATAGAGGTTACTACTAAGGTTATAGAGGTTACTACTAAGGTTACTACAGTTAAGGCAGAGATACCTACTAGGAAGTGTTAGTATATAAATTCTCCTAATACTACCTATTCTAGGTAAAACTAAGGCTAGCTAGAATTATAAGTAGAGTTAGGCTCTAGTAGTTTTAGTAATTTACTACTACTACCTATATATATAAAGCTGCTAGATCCTATAAAGGAAGTATAAGCCTAGCTACGTAGCCTTATTACCTTATAGGCTCTGTAGTAGATCTTATATATATAAGACTACGCCTGTAAGGACTTTAGAAGCTATATATAAGCCTTATAAAAAAAGTAAGATAAAGCTTCTTCTTCTCCTAGTTCTTCTAAAGCGTTAAATAAGTTCTATACCTACCTTAACTATATTACTAGTATAGTTAATAAGAGTACAGCCTAGGTATACTTCTAGACCTTTATTACCTATATAAAGCTAGTTAAGATAAAAATAACTTTCTAGAATTTTATAGAACAAAGTGTAAAGGATATAGGGCCTTAGTAACCTAGTAACTCTAACTATAATATAGCTAAGGTACGTTATATAAAGTAGAAGTATAGCCTAGGTAACTATAATAAGGGCTCTACCTACTATAAAGCCCTAGGCTAGTTTTAAAAGTATATCTAAGAAGCCTGCTTCTAGTCTTAGCTGTTATAGCAGAGCTATTACCTAATTATTCTTGTACTTACTACCTACTTTAGCTTCTCTAAGCTTAGAAAGACTCTTAGTTCCTACTTTAGTACTCTAGGCTATAGAAAGCTAATTATAGTCTCTTTTATAAAACTATATCTATCCTTATACAGCCTATCTAAGGTAATAAAAGAGAGTATTAATAAGTTCTTACTTAGAGGTAATAGGGGCTTAAAGCTTACATTTATATACGTATACTTACTATAAGATAAGTATATAGCCTAGAAAGGCTTTAGTATAATAGCAGCTAGTAACCTAGATAAAAAGATTAAAACTATTTAAATTATATAAAAGAAGCCTACTAGTAAGCTAGAAGAGCTAGCTAGTAAACTAGAGGAGCTAGAGAAGCCTACTAGTAAGCTAAAAAAGCTAGCTAGTAAACTAAAAGAGCTAGAAAAGCTTACTAGTAAGCTAGAAGAGTTAGCTAGTAAGCTAGAAAAGCTAGCTAGTAAATTAGAAAAGCCTCTTTATTCTATAAAAAGACCTATTAAGCCTTATAGGGCCTCTTTCTATAGGTCTTCTAGGGCCTCTTTCTACAGGTCTTCTAGGGCGTCTAAAAAGAGGCCCTCTAGAAAGTCTTAATAAAAACCTCTACAGAAATTATTATAAAGAACAGCTAGGAAATTATTTAAAAGATAGTCTAGAGTTTAGTATTAGAGAATAATCTTAGTACCTAGAGTATCTATAATAGATATTCTAGTTTTTATTAATTTCTTATACTGTATCTGCTCTAAGAGTCTGCTCTTTACCTATATTTTACTTTACTAGTAACTATAGTAAACTATAAAGCAGGTACTAAAAGCTTACTTAATAGGCGTAATAAGAGAAGTAGATAATTTCTATCTACTATATAAACTATCTATTCTATACTCTTTTCTTATACTATTCTACCTATCTTCTTCTTACTAACTTATACCCTCTAGCTCTGTACTATTTTTACTATTATTTAACTAGCTAACTAGAGTTACTGTTACTATACCTTCTTCTAAAAGAAAGGCAGAGGACAGCCTAGAGAACTTAATATATATAAGATATTAAGCTATACACAGCTAGAATTACTATAAAAGAAGAAAAAAAAATCTTATATTTAAGTTCTAGATTTTACCTAGCTTTACTTTCTCTATACTACTATTATTACTACTGCTCTAGCTACTACAGTATAAGAATAGCCCTCTTAGTAACTAGTAAGATAATTCTTTCTTTTCTTTAGGCCTATTTCTAGAAAGCTATACCTCTAGTACACCTATATATAAAGTATACCTAATAGAAGGAGCATATATAACGCTGCCTAGAGAAGAACAGCTAAATTTACTATATCTAACGCCTACGCTAGCTATACTAGACCCTATAGATATAGAAGAGCTAGGCCTGTATACATTTAAACCTAATATAGAAGTAGAAAGATCTAATATAGGCTGCCTAAATAATAGATAGCTAAATCTGCCTATAGTAAAGAAGGCAGAAAGTAGCCTAAGTAATAGTAATAGCTCTAGCCTATACCCTTCTTTAGTAGACAGCGTAGAAATCCTAAGTAGAATAAGTTAGCCTACTAGTCTACTTAATAGAAAAGAGCTGCCCTCTAAGTAAAGAGAAGTAATAAATACCCTTAGTACTATATTCTTATCTTATTATTATATATATAGTAAGTTCCTGTACTACCTTCTTTTTAGCCCTATACTTATATATTTATATAGTAAGCAGCTAGCTAAATATTACTACTAACATACTAGGAGTATAGACGCTAGTATAAGTTAGTAAGTAGATTAAGAGCCTAATTCTAGTAAAGCTAAAAGACAAGAATAATATACCTATAGCTACTCTAGCTAGATTCTTCTTATCTAATAAAACTATATAATTAAGCTAGTCTTTGCCTTTCTAGCTCTTTAAGTAGATCTAGTAGGATAAGCTACTTACTAGCTATAAGATACTTAGCTCTAGATAGGTACTACTAAAACTAAGCCTAAAGAAGTTAGAGTAGGTATTCTAGGCTCTCTAGTAACTTATAGTATAGAGAGGCACTCTTAAGCAGTAGTTTAATATAGATAGTGTAACCTTTAAAATAAGAAGCCTTACTATTTACTAGATAGCTTTCTATATATATTAGTATCTAAACTACCTACAGTCTATCTAGTAAGATTAAAAGGTAAAAATAGCTAACTAAGAAGCCTCTATACACTGTATAAAGTATATTACGCTTAGATATAGTATCTTTTTAGCTAGCTATAACTTTACTACCTACCTATTCTTTTTCTACTACTTATTTATTAAGGGTAAGAGCTACTAAGACGCTGTTAGCTACCTAGATAATAAGTTACTAGAAAGACTGTTTAACTAGGCTATCTATCTAGCTCTATATAAAGAGGTAAGAATAAATATTACGTAGCACTATTTTACTAGCTTCTAGAATATACGCATAAGAGTATATATTAAGGCAGAGATAAAGTAAGAGGTAGGTAATACTACTAGTATTATATTAGCTAACCTAATTATAGAGAAGAACCTAGATAGGCTCTAAGTAAATATCTAGCAGCGCTACTCTACTATTATAGGTACCTATAATAGCTAGAGGAACGTCTTTTATAAGCTATAGCTTATTATCTAGGCCTATAATATTAAGCTTTAAGGTACCTACTCTATATTATAGCTATAGACCTTCTATATATTTAACTAGATAATAAACACTATATTTTATATAGAGCGCCTAGGCTATATAGATTAGTACTACTACTAGGTAGATCTTACTTAAGAAGTAATTACTAGCTAGCCTAGCTATACTATCCTAGAAAAGCTAGCCTATCTCTATAAATAGGTTAGAGATAGCCTATAAAAGCTAGGGTAGCCTAAGAACTACGCTACTACCTATCTTATAAAAGAGTTATAGAATATAGGCGCTCTTACTATTAAGCTGTATAAGTAGTCTAACCTACATACTAGTAGAATAGTAGACGTTAAGGCCTATAATATTAATAAGAAACAGTTTATAGTACCTATTAAGAACTACCTCTTCTTTAGAAAATAAGCTCTAAAAGGACTTAGCCTCTCTAACTCTAGGCTGTAAGAGTAGTATTAATAAAGGATAGAGAGAAACTATATAAATAGAGTAAGCCTCTAGCGCCTAGTATCTATATATAAAAGTATAAAGTACTAGGTCTAGAGTATACTCTCTAGATCTAGCTAAGCTAGGTACTTTTATAGCGTATAGAAAGAGTACTATATTACCTATAAGTTATTTACAGCCTATATCTACAGTATAGCGCTACTAGTAGTGCTCTTAGATAGCCTAGGCCTACGCTAAAAGGTAGACGCAAAGTAAGAATAGAGAGAAGCTAGGCTAGAAAACTAGTATAGAAGTAAGTAAGGTATAGTAGAAGAAAGAGACTTAACACTAATAACTTACCTTCTCTTCTAGATTCTTAATATAGAGAAGCTTAATTACTTCTAGATAGTAGATATAAACTGCTAGCTAGCTTACCTAAAGTCTATTATTAAGGTTACTACTAAGTATACGCTAGGCTTTAAGGTATCTAGTACACTAAACATAGATAAGGACTAATACAGTACTCTTACCTTAGCTATACTATATCTTCTTAACGCTAGTCTAGAATACTATACTATAGATAGAAGTATATAGTAGAGTATTTCTAGAAAGTAGAGGAAGAAGAAGAGGTAGTAAAAGTAGTTTAGCAGCTAGGACACTAAGAAGCTTAAGAAAGGCCTTAATATAAAGTAGGTTATTAAGTAGTATAGTATAATATAGCTACTACCCTATAGTACCTCTAGCTATAGGCTACTTCTTACTAGCTAGACTAGCCTACTGTAGATCTACCTATACCTATAGTAGCTACTAGCTGTTAGTAACACTAGCCTATAAGATATATTTTAACAGAAGAATATTTTCTTTAAGGCTAGCTCTAACCTTAACCTCTAACTCTAGGTACTAGGCTAGTATATTAATAGTCTTACCTAGAAGAGTAACCTACATAATACCTTTCTATAGTATAAGATCTACTAAGCTGCTACAGAAGCCTATATTAAGAAATATAACTAGTAGATATAGATAGTCCTGTAGGAGTAATAGAAGGACTACGTCTATATTACCTCTAGGTTAGCCTTACTACACTTCTTCCCTAGTAACTTTAAAAGCTTTATTACCTACGCTAAAGGTAGTAAGGACCTAGTAGATAAATTTATCTACCTAGGCTATAGCTAGATTACCTTTGTCTTTGCCTCTATATTACTAATATATATAGTAGCTGTCTAGTTATAAATAGGTAAGGCTTAGTAGTTCTTCTAGTATAGCTCTAGCCTATAATAGAACTATATCTACTCTCTCTTTATCTAGGAGCCTAGCTAGTTTTAGTATATAAAAGGCCTTTTCTTTTACCTACTCTATATTAGTTTCTAGCAGATTATTAGATACTAGTTTAGAGACTATAAACTAGAGCCTAGCTAACTCTCTAAGTTTAAGGCCTTTTTCTACCTCTAGGCTTCTAAGCTTATATTTATTACTATATAGTATAACTTTAATAAGCTAACTCTACTCTATAACCTACTTATAAAGAAGTAAGAGTAGTCTAAGCAGCTCTCTATACTAGAATAAACTTAGTTTATCTACTCTACTACAGATCCTAGTATAGTTAATATTATACTGTATAATAACTAGCTACGTAAGAGGGCAGAGCGTATAGAGCTAGATAAAGCGCTGCTAAGAAAAGAATATAGTACCTTCCTTACCTCTCTCTAGGCCTATCTAGATCTGCCTATATATAAGAAATAGGTAGCTAAGAAGAGAAGGGGCTATATAGACCTTACCTCTACTATTAAGTATATCTTCTTTATATATAGGTAATAGCTAAAGTACGTAGAAATACTAGAGATAATAGGTATACAGCTTTAGGAGAACTATATAGCGCTAGCTACCCTAAACTCTAACCTATTAGATATAGAAAATAAAGCGTAGAAGGGTATAAGTAGCTGTAAGAAACTCTACTCTATACTACTTAGCCTATTACTCTAGTTTCTCTACTAGTAATAGGAGTTAAGATCTATAGAGTAGGCTCTTATATTTATAGGGGCGTATTAGCTACCTAGTATTTTTATATCTAGTATATTATATTTCTATATCTAGCGTGTTATATTTCTATATACGCTGTATATACTATATACAGCTTTATTTTACTTAGTATAATTCTATAATATTCTAAGTAAGATATCTAGTATATTACTACGTATTATAATCTAATTATAAACTGTTTTCTTAGCATTATCTAGAATATTATTTATTTATAGTGTCTTAGGTATAGGGCCTCTAGAGAGTATAACTATGCTATTTTCTTTTCTCTTCTAAGAGCTACCTTCTATCTAGCATTCTACTATAGTAATAGCTAGTTAAGAGTAAGTATAAGCGCCCCTTCTTATATAAAGCCTATTATAGATACCTAGGCTTTTAAGAGTACCTATAATATCTCTCTACCTCTAGCCTCTTTTAACTTTAACCTACAGACTAGGTTTTTAAAACTTATAAAATAGGTAGGTAATTAAGCTTAGGTATAGGCAGCAGCTAGTAACTCTATTATAATTAACCTAGCTATTCTTACCTACTACAGCAGTAAGTAAAAAAGGTTATATACTTATACTATAGGCCTATCTAAGGCAGAGTATATAGAGTAGGCAGCTAGCGTAACATTAGCAGGTACCTAGAGAAGGTAGAAGGTAATAGTAAAAATAGTTAGCCTAGTTACTTTCTACCTTACTAACACCGTAGCTACTATATTAACGCCTAGTATAGAGGGAGCAGAAGAAGTAAAAGTTAGTAAGTAGTATATAATTATAGTAGTAAGAGACTAGAGTATAGTCTAGATCTTTAACCCTATATTTAACTCTATAAGGTATAGAGACTATTAGTAAAGGCTAGGCGCTATTCTAGAAACTAGTATAGTAGGGCTCCTTATATAGTAATAGCCTAGGATATTAGAGGTCTATATCTAAGGGCTGCTAGAGGGCCTCTACCGCAACTAGCTCTATTATATAGGCTAAAGTACGCAGTAGGTAGAGGCTGTTATTACCTAGGCAGTAAGCTTTCTATTCTATTTAACTTCTAGTAGTAGGTAGTAGTATTACGTATAGAAGAGCTAGAGTTAGTAATAGGCCTATTCTCTAAGTAGAGGTATACTTTAGTAGTATTATATTTCTTCTTTAGTACAACAGATTAGGAAAATCTAAGGCTAGAGATAGAAAGAGGCGGTATTATTTAGCCTATAGAAAAAAAATTAGAGATTTCTAGCAACCGTAACGTACTAAAAAATTAAAGTAATAGCGTAGTAGGTAGATATGCTATGTAAAGACTAGTCCTAGCAGTATATAAAGAGGGTAAAGTTAGCAGTGTTATTACACACAAAGTAGGCAGCTAAGTAGGCTGTATATAATATATAAAAGAGTAAAAAGAAGTATATAAAGCTAATTAAGATCTAATTACTAGATATTAGAAAACTATCTAGTAAATATTTTATAACACGTTAAAGAGAAGTAATAACTAAAATAAAACTTAGTAAAATTAAGTTATTAAATAACTAAAACACAACAAAATAACTATAATACTAGAGAAAGGAGAGAAATAAAAACTTCTATAGTAGAGAATTATAAAAATTAAAAAGCCTAAGTAGAATATAAAGAAAAAATATATAAAGTTAAAGTATATTAAAGCTAAGACTTTTAGCTCTCTATAATAGCTAGTATAAGTAATACCTACTTACTAGTACTAAAAGTATAAACTTCCTACAGCCTAGTAAGCTTATATAGCTAGAGTAGGTATAAGTAGTAGTCTATTAATAGATTACTTTAGTCTTTTATTTCTTGCTTTCCTATCTTCTCTATATTATTATAGGGGTATACTAAGTATAATACTAAGAGTAAAGTATAAGATTTAGTATAATATATTTACTATAAGGTAGTACTACTCTTTCCTTAATAGATTTAAGATTACGTTAAACTTCTCTACGCTATACTATACTTCTATAATACTAGTATATAGGCACGTAGCTACTCTTACCTTTAGTCCCCTAGAAGAGGAATCTACTTTTACTAGTAAAGGATATCTTAAAATTACTATTCCTAAGCGCTAAATAGAGATATTATATATTATCTATCTTAGGCTGCCTTATATTATTAAGTTTATTATTCTAAGTAGCCTAAGTATTAGTATCTTCTCTCTATAAACTTAAGGTTATAAGTTTAACCCCCTCTTAGTTTATATCTACTAACTTTACCCTAGCTTAAAAAAAAAAATATTATCTAAAAACAAGATTAAGATTAAGGCCTATTAGTATAAGAACAGAGATATTAATAGCATTAAGTATAAGGAGGTAGAGGGCTATAGTGCAAATAAGGTAGTAGGCTATATTAGGGTAGGTAGAGATACTATAAGTTAAAAGTAGTATAAATAAGTAAAAAAATACTAATAAATATATAGTTCCTAGAGGGTCTAGGCAAAGTTTCTATTAATACTAGATATTAGAACAGCTTCTTTAACATCCTAATTATAAATATTTAGGACCTTAACAGCTACTACTTTAACCTTAATCTACTCTTTAAGATAGTTAAGGTTTTAGGCTCTCTAGAGTACAAATAGGAGCATAAATATAGTACTAAGTACTAGAAGATAGTAGATAACAGAGAGTTATATCTAGGCAAGTTAGTAGATAATAAGGTTAAGCTACTAAGGGCGGAGAAAGATACAGCCTATTATAGGATAGGCTAGGCAATAGGTAGAGAGGTAGGAAATATATAAAAAAAGCTTAAAAAAGCTTTTTTTTCTATTTTAATTTTCCTAAAGGCTTTAGAGTTATTTATTTTTAAGTTAATAAGTTTATAGTTATAAATATTAGTCCTAGTTTAATTATACTAAGTTAGAAATATTTATAATAATATTTAATATAAAAATTATAATTTTCCTTAAGCTTTAATAGGTTTACTAAGAAAAATAATACAGCTACTTAATTAGGTTATAAATATATTATATATAACAAATACTTATGTTAAGTGTAGGTAAATATAGTTGTAACTAGTCCTAGTAAGTAGAAATTACTAAGTAATAAATTTGTACTAATAAAAAGTTATAAATAAGTAATATATATAGTACTATATAGAGAGATTAATATTTTACTATAAATTTAGTATATATCTTATAGTTTAAGCTTAGGCCTACTAAAAACTCTTATTAATAGCTAACTTACTTATTATTAAAAGTAGTTTAGCCTAAGTAAAAGAATAGATCTGCTGTTTTAGTATAATAATTAAGTTAGTTAGGTAAAATCTTAATTAAGCAGTTATACCTATAACTAAAATTATTACTAGTGCTAGATAGGTTATTACTAACTATAGAATACACTAGTTATACTTACTTAAAGTTTAGAGAGAGAGATTTGTATTTATATTAATATTCTACTTTAGTTCTTCTATTAGTTTAGTAGAATAATAAAATATTTACTCTCTATTATTAATAGTTAATAATTACTAAATATACAAGAATTTAACTTTTAAAGATTTATTTTTACTTAATTACACTTTAATATTAACTAAAAAACTATTCTTTAATTCTATCTTCTACCATCTCTTAGAATTTACTATACACTGCCTATTTATTAATCTTAATATCTACTTAAAGTTTACATACTATTAAGTTAGGGCCTAACTTAATATAATAATAACTATTTTAATAAGTAAAATAAATAAATAAGTTAATATCTATAGTTTAGCTTTATACCTTCTTATAAAATATATATCTCTTATATATTAAGTAACTGCCTACAGTAATATACTTAAAGCTATATAGCAGTTCTAAAACTTAATTATAGTTTTCTTTTATAGTAAAACTTTATTAAGTAAGAAGCTTAGTTTTAAACTATAAATATATATTATTAATTACTTACTCTGTTCTACTTAAAGAGTTATTATTAGTAAGTTTCCTTATAAATTAGCGCTAGCCTATACTATACGCTAACTAATAAATTATACTATAGAAAGTATTGCCTATAGACCTTATAAATATAGTAGACTATTTTAAAGAGTTAAATAAGAAGAGAAAAGATTATAATAAAACTACCCTACAGAACCTCTAAAAGAAACTACTCTATAGAACCCTCTACTCTACTATATACCTCTCTACTAAATATAAAACTACTACGCACTAAATAATCTACTATTACCTAGGTATACAGCCTCTTACTTAGTAGGGCCCTTACCCTTACTTTTACTCTTACTCCTATTAGTCTCTGTAGAGAGCCTACTAGGGTTTACCTAAGTAACTCTACTACTAGCAGGGGGTTAAGGCTAAGGCTAGGGGGCAAGTAAGGCTTTATTACAGAGGGTATTAGCCTAGCTATAAGGCTTAGGTTAAGAGGGGCCTAGAGTAGAAGATCCTAGAGGGCTTAAAACTAGTAAGAAGGTATAGTAGTAGTAAGATAGTATTATAGAAACACTTCTATTACGCTAGTTAAGGGTATTAACACTATACTAGAAGTACTTATCCTAGTTTAGGTTAAACTCTTAGGTTAGCCTATTTAGTATAGTATATTAATTAACCTACCTATTATACTCCTACTAGTTAGTAGCCTAAGCCAGATACTAGCCCTAGTTTAAAAAGAAGAAGTAGTTAGGAACGTTATAAAGTAGATCCTTACTAAAGGTATTAGCTTCTATCTTCTTATAAATTACCTAGTATCTCTTAACTATAGTAATATTGTTAACGTACGTATAGCTAATAAACTTAGTAACCTCCTTATAGCTAATATTAGCGCTAAAGTACTAAGACAGCTTTATAACTACGCTTAGTAAGTCTTAGTAAACCTAGCAGTTAACAGCCTTAGTAATCTTAGATATATATACTAGGTAGATATTACTAGGAAATGCCTACTTAGTGCCTCTATACTTATTTAAGTACCTAAAGAGGGTACGCAGCGTAATAGTAAAAGACTAGTAGGCCTAGGTAATTTTAGTGTAGGAGCCTATCTCTAGTATCTCTATAGTAGCTATGTTAGCATTAACCTTAATAAACTATAGAAGTATAGTGTACTAAATAGAGGTTACTAGGCTAGTTAATCTATATAGGAGGCAAGAGTTAAAGATATAGACGTTGCTAGCCTTATAAGTCTACTTTATCTAGGTAACGCTAGAGAAGCAGTTATAGAGCTCTAGAGGAAAGTTAATATTATTATTTTAGCTCTTAATCTTGCTAGTTAAGTTAGTAATATTATTAGTCTTATACTACTTCTAGTACTTAGTAATATACTTATAAAAGCCTAGTAGTATCTTAGTGTAGTTCTTACTATCTTTATTATTAAAGAAGACGCTACTCTAAATAAGATCTACGCT